TTGTAACAGAAAAAGTGCTGCAGTTATTTATCCCTTTTCTGGTACTTTAGAATCGGTCAGACAAGTGCTTTTATAGTGATGGGGAAGTTTATATGCTTCCATGCAAGCATAAAAAACATCTGCAAAAATATCTGAGAAATGTAGCACCAAGTAGTGGATAAACTGAATTAGTAGTTGTAAAACTAGATTAGTATTTGTAGTAGTGTTTTCATTATTCCTGCATGGGATAAAACTTTATATCAGATTTACTAGCTAGTGTTTACAGAAATTATTTTCTCATATTAACTTTTCCTGCTCCAGACAGGGTGAAGTCTGTGTTCTAAACCTAAACCCTAAACTCTGTGTCCATCAGACAGACTTTTGAGTCTTTCAGAATTCTACTTAACAATTCTGTAGAGACAAGCATGAGGTTTGTTTGTTTTTAAGAAAGTGAATGAATATCTGGGATAGACTAGAAAAGAATCCCTATTCCTAGTACTTAACCCAGGAAAACATACTTTGCACCTGGAATAATTGCTTTTTGTGAGGATTAAATAAAGCCATCTTAACATGAGGTTTTCCTGATTACACCTGCACGCAGGCATAACTTGTCAGGACATGAAGTCCAAACCTGCTGCTCTAATACTAGTATGCAGACTTGGCCCCTGTTAAACCCAAGAACATGGGACAGAGATGGACACTGGAATGCCATAAATACTTACAGATTTTTCTGGTACACGTGGAATGCATCTATGGATCATTTTGAGTCCATAATATCTCTCTGTTTAGTGATCATCTTGGTATATCTATATAGTTAAAATAACTATAGTGATTATTGTATTTGCTACATTCAACAGAACTGCAAATAACTAGTAGTAGGTTTTTTTTTTTTTAAGGTTTCTGCAGGTTCTAATTAGTGAGATTTCAATAAAACTCAAGAGCTAGTGGAAACCTTAATAGTACCAAAATTAGGCTCAAAACAGAATTGTACAGGCATAGCTTTTAACACCAATTTTGGGAAACAGTATCTACTGCTGCCGAGAAGAAGCAAGATTTACCTAGACTGAGATTACATTTAATTTCTGACACATTTTGTGGAGAAACACAAAGTTTCTGATCCTCATGAAAATGCAGGAAACAACCCTTCCCATTCTATCTTTAACTTCTGGCAAGGAAGATAAAAACATTGGGAAAAAAGCTTTCAGTAGAAGTTCAAGCATTTGCCTTCATAAGAGTTTGGACTCGCAACAGGCGTTCGCATGGTCACACCGAAGAGTTAAAATCCTGTCTTCACTGCAGAAAGAGCTCTCTACTCTACAGATGTAGCCGCACTGTTTTTGAGAAACAAACAAGGGAACTGCTCAGCGTTCCCTTCACTCCGTGGACACCGTGTTCCTCTCCTAATGGCTCAAGGACAGCTCAAGAGAATTAATCCAAACTAAGCTGAAAAGAAGCATACGATAATGCCAGTTTTGCCTGGGTAGCAATTGTTGCAGTTGATATAAAAAGCAGTTCAATCAGAAGGAAAAAGTTGTTGCAACCTATACAAAGCTTACTCAACCCTACGGCCCCTGAATCATTTTGCCAGTCCCTGGGAATTTCCAGGGGGAGGCAACGTGCTCGTCGGGGGTCTCATCAAGGAAATATTTAGACTCCAACGTCGGCCTGCCATGAGACAAAGCACAGACTATTCCTTGTCTGCTCCTAACTGGGCTAAGCACAGACACAGTTGCCTCCAGTGTCTAGGAATACCACTGAGCACGGGAAAGCTCGAGGGAAAATAGGAATTTCTTGAGAACTCAGAGGCTGAATGTGTTCCCTTACCAGAGGGACCATCCTGACCGGGTGCATTTGTTAGAAAAACACATTAGCTTTCTGATTTTAATGAAAATTCAGGGTTAGACTTCTGGTCTAGCAGTAGGGTTGGTAATAAGAGCATCAAAACGAGTTCTGCAACAAGAAGAAAGCAAAGGCATATCTGTATTGCTTGTTCAGCAATTTCCACATTACAGGAAGAAATAAGAAATTTGAAATGAAACCGTGACTTGAGCATTAAGAAAAAAAAAGATAGAGGATGACTGAGAATCTTTTGCCAGAAATGAAATGAATTCAAATGCGCGTTCCTAAAACGTCGGAAACGTTCAATTCTTTATAGCTCAAGCATTACGGCCACGATAATGCCTACAACACTGCGGAACGAGGATCCAACTGGCTGAAAGTGAGGTAATAGTTTGTAATAGGTCAGAGTTCTAAAAAAGCACTTTTACACCTTACAAGTCCAAAGAAAAAGAAATAAAAGGACACATTTCATACATGTTGGGCTTTCTCACCAGAACGGTACGATAATTAACTCCACACCAGGACCCCTACCACACTAAGCCTTACTCATCGTCAATTATATGCTGCAGCAAAGATTTACCAAGCGACATCTAAACTTCAGTACAATATGAAACTTGATTCTTAAAACTTTATACACACAAAATAGAAAATTACTTCTCTAGGATAGGGGCAGGGGAGCAGGATTCTCCTTCATGATACTTGGACTGAAAAACTAGTTTTCAGAGACTGCCACAAATATTATTCACAGTTTCTTGCTGTCAGGCTTTTTCAGCTACATCAACGTAGTACACAACAATACTGTTAGTCCAAGAACTACATCAGGTGGACGTTCTCAGGAATGAGAGAAAACTAGTGACGAAAAATATCCAAAAGGCCTCCTCCTAAAGATGTCTCCATTTTTACAGGGTTGCAGTTTGTCTATGTTACACGTTAATGCGATCTCAAAAGAGTAGCAGGAGCAAAATTCCAAGCCTTATCTCCTGTCCAAGTGATCCAAGTAACATAAGCATCCACTTACCAGAGATAACATGAGAAACAAGGCTTTTGTTACAAAGACAGCAGTGAACCACACCTTCCCACACCAAAATATGGTCAACCAGGGATTTTGGCCATGCAAACTGCTGGTCAGCAGAAAATTAAGCATGCTAATGGACAAACATTAATTCCAATCATATATTTAAAATGATCTCAAATACTACTAGATAGCTACACTGAAAGCGCCTGTAAAAAACGTAGTGAAAAAAATGAAACAAAATATTATTGATCACTGCAGCACTTAGAGTGATACTAGCCTTACGTGATGAATCACCTCAGAGAAAATACATCAGATGGGACTTTGAAACAAAAAGTTAACATTAAAAGGTGCACCTGAATATTACCGACTAAATTTACAAAACCTACAATAAGGTAAAATATATATCTTTTGAATATTCAGCAGCTTTTTTTTTAAATTTGTTTTTATTTTTTTGAGAGGCTCATGAAATTTTAAAAAGGGACCACTAACTAATCTCAACCATGCTTCACAAAACAATAATGGCTATTTTATATTGCAGTTACCAACGTAATGCAATTAGTGCTTAAAAAATAATCTACACTTTTTTCTTTCTTTTTTTTTTTTTCCTTTTTAAACAGAGACCTTTGGAGGAAATACAGTTGTTCAAAAGCTTCTCGAAAAAGAAGGATTACCTGAATATTAAGTTATCACAGATCAAGTGTTGTGTTTAAAAGCTTTGCAGACATGAATATTACAATCTTCAGGTCTCAGGACATTTAAACTGAGAAAGTTACGCGTTTGGTTTGTTGTTTTTTTTAAATCCACTTTCTAACCAAAGCAAAGAAAGAGTACTCAACTTCTCACTATCTATTTACAATTCTTAGCCTACAGTCTGAAATGCCAAGACAAATTCTCTTTTAAACTGCAGCATTAAAGGGTAGGCACACCATTCTGCTGCACGATTGTCACCCACTTAAACATACACATACAAAATATTTAGGTTAGTAAAATGAGCACTCCACTTACACTACAGTGAAAAGTTTTACAAAACTCAACTCCTGTTGCTTAAAGAAAGACAACTGCAAAAGGTTAAACCTCTCCGAACAGTAAAACTGTTGCATTTTTGTTTTTGAACTTGCAGCAAACTTTCTACCGTATCCTCCAAGAGCAGATGAAACCGCGTGTTTAACTGCACCTTTATTGCCAACAGCAGCTAAACTGGAATGTGCTGCAGAGCTTAATACACTGCTACTGAGCTTTAACTGCTTTGAGTGCTGAGATGACAACGAGATAGCTGAGAGGAATGGGGATTTTGAGTGCTAAAATATGTTAAGGAAACAAAAGAAACAAAAGAGTATATAGCTGGGGCCAAAAGCCCAATCCTTTTCAAGAATGAGCAGTGCATATTTAAAAGGACAGCAATGGTGTGCCTAACCTTCGACAAGAGTTAGTCGCTGGGGAGGGGAGAGGCCAGGGCTGCCTGTTCCAGAGCCCAGGCAGCATCTCACGGGCCCCGCGGGCCGCCCTCCCTGAACTGCAGAAACCACTTTCAGTCACTGACATCACTTAATGCTCTCTCACACACAAAAAAATAAAAAAATAAAAGATCCAATGCTTCTTTTGGTTGTGCAAGTGGGAAAAGAGATATTTCGATATACTTTTTGCACAGATTAAGACCAAATTATTTCTACCTGAAGAACCTGATTTGGTCAAACTGCAGTAAGTCCAGTAAGCAATACCTAGTTACTGACCACTCCCGTAGAAAGTATTAAAGATAAAAAGTTCTGTACAAAACTTGTCCTGGATCTCAACGATAAAGATATCACCAGAGTGAAAACGACCGGGTTTGTGGTTTACGGAGTGCTTTTACGGTGTTTAAATGCTTTTTCTAGCATGTGCTAAACCACTATCAAAATAGGTTAAATAAAAACAAAATCAAAAAATACACGCAGGATTGAGATTATTTCCTGCTACTGGCAACTGTAGTATTTAAAAAGGAAACACCCATTCACTGGGTGCTCGACCCTGACAGTATTACAGCTAGATATGATGCAGAGCCTGAACCAAATCAGGCTACCAGTGTTTTACTTCTTCCCTGAACATTAACAAGCTCCTTCACTAATGTGGATATTTGGGCAGACTACTGAGGTTGTAACGTTTGAGAGTTTTTTTTGTGTGTTTTCTTTTCTTTTTTTTGCGCAAGATCACAGTAGTTTGTTACACACACCCCCCTTCCCCAGATTAGAGTCATTTAAACTAGTTGCTGGAACCACGTAGCTTAGTAAACTCAGAACCAAGTCTGTAAAAAGCGTGAAGGTCACCAAGAACCAGAGTTCGGTTAAAACGAGGCATACCCTAATACATCATTTAGTGTACCCTGACTGCTCCTGACCATGAGAAGCTTGTCTTCCGTGAGATAAGGCTACATCCTCAAGCAGGTGAGTCTAAATATCACCCTTCAAAAGTATCAAACAAAATTACAGCGAAGGTAGTGTTACAAAGTAATTAACCAAAGTATTCCAAGGTAGTGTGTGTAAGGTCTCCCTCCCTCCCCTCCGGGTGAGCACTAAGCAGGCCGTGAACAGCAAGTACATTTAATTTAGAAAAGGAAAGAGCGGAGAGCCTAAGTAGACCCAATTGATTATGCACCTAATATACAAATCTCTGAGTTCAAGAGAGGTACCATTCCTAAATGACTTGATTTAGCTTAAATCTTTCAATCAACTGGATCAAATTAAAGGAGGAAAAAAAAACCAAAAACAACAAAAAAAACACCTTTCTGAAACATTTTGAAGGACAGTCTGATTCTCAATGAAAAAAGCCTGGTTTTAAGAGAGAATCAGTTTAACCAAGTGGACTTATTTTCTTCCCCTCTAAAGGCAAATATTCCAAAACAAATCCAACAGCAGTTCAGGCAGGCTCTACAGGCAAGGTGTCCACTTCCACAGGTCTGCATTCCTTGTGAGGTAACTCAGCTCTCTATTACAGAGAAACATGCAAAAGGCAAAAGAAAAAAAAAAAGGAAAAAAGGGGATAAAGGGTTAGTGGACGGGTGAAGGAGGGGGGAACTGAGCCATACCAGGCTAGGAAAATTTACAAGCGTGACATTCAGAGCACACCTTTCACCTGCGTCCACGCGAGTCTGTGTTAAACTGCAAAGGAAAGTTGCAGTAAACAGAGGAATCAGGTGTGCTCAGGGGTGGTTGAACTATGCAGTAGTGCTCACCCAGTTTGCAAAGTAATTGGCACTCTACAACATCCCTACTCATCTTTCAATTCATTTGCACTTTGTGCTGCTTCTCCCTGGGGATCTAATTCAATCTTCACTGAAACATCCTGCCCCTCCGACCTCATTAATTTCATTTTTTTCTTTGGAGGGTTTTTCAAAGTGCCCAGCCTCTCTTTAACTTTGTACTCCAGTGTACTGTGGGGGATCCCATAAATACTCTGAGCTTTGGAAACACTCATTTTCCCGCTCATAACCACAGAGATTGCTTCCTCCAGTATCTCGCTGTTGTACTGTCTGTATCTCCCTCTCTTCTTCCTAGGTTGCTTGGAGCCAGGATCTCCCTCTTGATCTGAGGTGGGATATGGCTGTCCAGAGGTAGACTGCTCAGCATCTGAGCCCCAGGAATCTGGTCCAGCATCCAGCAAACTTCTCCTGTTCTGTTTTGGAAGGATAGCCCTTAACTTTTTGCTAAGCGCGCTCTCCGTTTGTGAACCCATTACCAAAGAGCTATAGCTGTACTGGTCACCAGTGCGGGACTCCCATGAAAGGTCCATGCCTCGAACTTGTGGTATCTTTAAATCCACAGGAGACGAATGGCTCACGTCCTTTTTCCCATCCTGTTTAGTTTGAAGTGCCATTTTTTGAAAGGCAGAGTTTTCTGTAAGAAAAGGAAGGTCACTGATGTTGCTGAGTGCACCATTTCCCCTGAATTTCATGCGGCTGAAATTGAATTCGTAGTGTGGTTTTGCCCAAGAAGCCTCCCTGGATAATATTAAGTGCTGTCCATGATTCTGTAGTCCAGATGGCCCATGGCTGGCAGCCGTAGCAAACTGGTTTCTGCTCAGCAGTTCTTCACTAATCTGGAGTGATCGAGCCAGCGGAACTTTAAGAGATGTGGAGTGGCCATAACCTTCCCTGGTTCCATCCTGCAAGCTTCTCGGAGGTCCCCCATCACCACTCTGTAGTCCCTCCGGATGGTGCTGGCTGGGTCTCCCAGGTCGCCTAATTGGATGGAAGGAAACTGATGTGAGCAGGACTTGCACAGGTAGGGAGGGATGGGTGAGGGGGCCACTCCTTTATTAGAAGGCCTTGCTTGGGTAACATCACTTTTTGAGTTATTTATTTTTCTCTATTTTTTTTATTTTTTAATTTTTTTTTTAAAGTCTCAGCATCAGTCAGTTTTAAAACTTGTTTGCAAAAAAAGAGAAGCTTTTTGGGCAAAGAAAAAAATGAAACCTGTTGGCTGGTCTCTGGTTGGGTTCACAAATTCTCGGAGTAGAAAAGACTTCGCGCAAGCGTCTGAAAATAGCACCTTAATTACAAAGTAATAGTCAATCTCCATGGATCTATACAGAACTGTGTTACTGGTGTGACGTTACCACTAAACAAGAACAGTAATAAAAGAGTAAGCCAAAATGCAACATGTTCAACATGCAAGTATGACTGCCACCTGCAGCATCTACACACAGGTGGAAAACTTGGATGATGTTTGCTTATATCATATTGAAGATTTTGCTGCTCAGAATAAAAATGCTCGGAATAAATAGCAGGCCTCGGATATTGTCTGGCTTTCACTAAGCATCAAACACAAAAGCTGGGATACTGCAGATCACACAGACAGACACTGCATTACACCAGACTTACCAAATTGCTCGCTCAACCGCTAGTTACACGTATACACGTCCCTCATCCTCATTTGATACATGTCATGACTAGAAAAGACACCCTCAACCCATCCCCAAATTCCAACTGTAAACTTTAGTCAAGGTACAGGGTTAATAATATTAAAAAAAAAAAAAAAGTGTGCATTATTATTGTCCTTACACCTTATGTTTTTTTTTTCTCTCTTCTATGACACAAACTACTACTACTATTGTAGATAAACATATGAATTTTAATATATTCCTTGGTTAGGTCCTTCTAATAACTGAGTCACACTGGCCAGGAAATGACATAGTTTCCAAAAACACCTCCAAACTTCTCCACACTCAAGACAGAAATTAATGAAGAGACTAGGAATCAATTATATTGTGATGCCTTAGGACACTATACTGATCTGATGCCATCTAGATCAACCAGCCTTATTTAAAGATAAGCGCTATTGAAAATGTACATTATTGACTGTCACATTTAGACTGTAATAATTTTTTAGAGTAAAAACGTATCCACTGAAAGGACCTGACACGTCACATGTAAGGCACGCAGTGCTCAATACAGGGGCAGGTAACTCCCCTCCAGGAGCTGGTAGGTCTTAGTGGAAGCGGGTAAGGAGTCAACGTGGATTCAGAACAAAATCCAGAAGACGGGAGTACGAGGCAGCCGTGCCAGGCAGCCCTCTCCAGCCACGTGCATCCTGTGCCCCTCGGGCAGCAGCACGAGCCTTGCAGCGTGCACCAGCCTCCCTGCACCCGAGGGCCACGCGGGCAGCTCGCCAGGAGACGGGTGTCCCCCCTGGAAGCGGAGCAGACCGCGTCCCCCTCATGACCACGCACCTACACAGGTGCCTACAGGTGCCAGGATGCCACGTCCTCCCTCGATCCGCAGGAGCCGCGAGGACAGCGCCAGGCGCTGGCCCTGCGCTCCCCACGTGCCGCCCTTGGGCCCTCCCTCGATACGCAAACAGACTACGCAGCCTTGGCCGCTTTTACTGTCCTCATAGGAAGATAAGGCTCAAAATAACCCCTTCTGCATCAAAATGGGGGAGCTGCGAGGGAAGCTTTATGCTGAAGAATTTTTTTTAAAGGACTAAGACTGAATGTTAAGGAAGGACTGAACTATTTTCTTGCTAGAAATTTTAAGATGGAAATGTAATCCTGAAGAGGAAGACTGAGATACTATTGTTTTTCCAAAGACAGCTTAAAAAGTCAAATAAGTTGTTAGCAGAGAGGGGGGAATGGGTGGGTGCACTCGCCTGGGATGGCGTTAGATTAAAAATACATCAAGTCAGAGGCTATTATAAGGTTAGAACCAGGAATTAAGTATTAATTGAATCCATGTACTCCTTCTGTACCTTGCTAAAAAGATGATCACTTGTTCACAATAGCTTCAAACTAAAATTCTTTCATAAGCACCCAAAATACCTCTTACCCCCAGCCAGTCTCTCCAAAAAAGGTAAAATCCTAGCCAAGAGTCAAGGGTTGCCAAGCATATGTAAGCTCTGACCATTAGAAATAGGACATATAATAGTAATTTTGGGGGCAGAACATTCTTTTGCACCTTGAACTAAGGAAGACAAGAGTACACCATATATTTTAAAGTCTTTTAAACTCCTTCAGTGCTACAGTACAATCAGAAATCGAAGAAACTGTAATTAAAGTTTTCTGAACTCTCAGACTTTCTCCCCCCTTTAAGTAGTGATATCTGCTAGGAAATATTAACAAAGATCATTCAGTGACTTAAGTCTAATTCGGCTTGGTTCATCACTCAAATCATTGCTAACTCTAAAATAAATAAATTTGGGGTTATTTAGCCTTCCTCTAAGGAAGGGAATCTAAATTACACTGCCAAAATCTTCATACATTTAACTGCCTCAATCCCCATCTCCATAGACATCACATCACTGAATCCAAGAAGCAGATAATGAAGAGATCTTTGGCTAAATACTAAATTAGCCAAAATAACAGATATTAGACTTCTTAAGTTAAACCTGCTTTGGTTTACAACAGCTCTTATTTGGCAGGTGGGGTGAAGGTTGCCAAAGGTCCACATTGAAATTAACATTACTCCAAAGGGTTAAAACCAAAAATCAGTTAACATTAACAGGAGGCAGACAACACAATATTTTAGTACAAAGCAGTTTAAAAGGTTGTAGAAAGTTGCTCTCTCTTACCCATTCCCTGGAGTAGTAGAGCACCCTGGAGAATGACTCAGAGAGGTGCTGCCAGCACAAGGACTCTTCTTAGTGGATAAATCAAGCACTCCGTCTATGGAGACAAAAGAATGACTTGAGCACGTGAAGAAACGGGATCAGGCATGTCCTCCCAGTAAAACAAACCTTTAGAGACAAAATAGTATATTCGCACGGGTAGGATAGCACATGGATTTTTCTTTTCTAAAAAAGTTGGGTTTATTAACAATTTGGTTACAAACTTCTTCAACATAGTCATCAAGAGTCTCAAAAAATGGCAAAGTTAAAAGTACATCCCTGTTACCAGTGTCAGGGCATACAAATGACAGTTCAGGATACAACACAAGCTATAGTGCAACTAATCCTCAGAGGTCCCAAAATGAGACAGTCTCCCAACTCCTGAGACTTTGGAGGTTTTAAGCCAATATTTGAAAAATTCTTGATCCAAATCCATGGAGGAAAGGTCATGTCAGAATTTCATATTCTAAATTTGTTCTCAAGTGCAAAGTGAAAAGCACCATACCTGACTTGATCCTTTCTCCATATCTCTGTTGGGCACTTCCTGGCAAAGCTGTTGTTACTTTTCCCCTTTCCATCCCGTCACTTTGAATCTCTCTCTCCTTCCACATCCCAAAGTGTTTCTCCTGCTAGTGTGCTGTTTCCACTCTCCCCTGCACACACACTAATGGCACTTCCCCTTACCCAGGCAGGCTCCTCTGTGAGCCCTTATGCGAGCTATGTGCTTCCAGACAACAGAAAGGGGAGAGGAGAGCACTTTGCTAGGCAAGCCTTGCTTCCGTCTCACTAAAACGACTTGAAATTCTGCTTATTAAAATAGGGCAACATTGCCATAGAAGCAGCACAGCCATCTGAAATTCCTGGAAACTCTGAAATAAGGAATTTATGAAGCAAGGATAAATGAAATCTGTTGGCAAGGTAAACTGCCAACTTTTCAAATCTACTCGCTCTTTCTATTTTACTCAAGTAAGCGCCACCAAATGCACGAACAATACAGGATGACTTTCACAGTGCTTAGAATTCTCCCCTGACGTATGGAAAAAACACAAAATGATAAACGGTGAGCTAGAACTGACCTCCTATGGAAAGCTGTTCCACTCACCCCTTTTGGGAAGTTACCGTAACCCAAACTTAAGCAAGCAGAGACTTTGGGCTTCCTTTGAACAGGGTGCTGTCCAGGCACAAGATACGGTAACTCAACTCAAGGGGCTCCTCCTTTTCCAGAGGAGGACTAAATCACACAGACTGCTTCCAAACAGGCTTCATCCGGGTGACTATTGGGTCATCAGGACCCCGCAATCTGTGAGAACAAGCTGGACCCAGACTCACTCCCCATAGAGACTGATTCCCTTTGGTCTTCTACAACAGAAACACAGCAGAAAGCCCCAATGGAACTCTCTTGGGATGACCTTTTAAACTGCTCTTAAGTCTGACAAATTCCCTGTCTAGATATGTTAATATAAATTGAAATAAAATACATCAGCTAAGGGATTACTGCATAAGTTAATATGCGCACGCTCTAATTCTGACAAGTGTATGAACATTATAAGTTATCTTGAAGCTTTTTCATAGGTTGGGAGCTAGATAACAACTCAACCTCATTCTCAACATCTATGGGTAGGTATATGTTCTCTCTCTCAGCACTGAATGCTCATTAAAAAAACAGAATCAAAACTCAGAAACAGAGTCTCTGTCTTTCAGGGAAGAGCTTCACAAATGTTAAACTGCTTTGATCATTATAAATACATATGTTAAAGACACTAGTTAATTACATCTATTATAAAATCAGCTACAAAGATAAGTGTATCAGCTAAACAAACGTATAGAATTTATTCTGAAGAAGTCGTCCTACCACAGAACTTTCCTTACAATATTTTAACTGAAGTGTTGAGGCTTTAGCAGTAAGTGATACAAACAGCAACTTCCCACATGTCCAAGCTGTATATCGTAGGACACACAAAATTAACCTTCTCACAAAAGACTCCATAACCCAAGTGTAAAAGAGAACAAAAAGATACCCACAAACACTGTCCAAGCTAGCACATGGCTTTTCTACTTGAGGATGAACAGCCTACCTTGTGTTGGATAGAATTGTATTTGATTTCAGGCACTTAGCAACACATTTCTAAAGAAGGGTAAAAGGGCTAATTTTAACCCCATCAGTAAGATGCTCTGATAACCTCTATTCCATATTTCAGAAAAAGAAACATTCACATAATCTCCTGCAAAATTTGCTTGTTAATTTTTTTTGATAGAAAGCAAGTTTCCCATTTGAAACAAGCCCTGCAACAGTACTACAAGTTATTCATCTGTGCTCTGCAGAACAAGTCTATTTTTAAGATTGAAAAAAGACATTTCTTGTAAACACATAAACAGGGAATCTATTATACAGTTCATGGGTATCATTTTTACAGCCTTTACCAGGCTGTCCCAGAATTAGTATCTTTAAAAGACACTGCTTTCACACTATGAGCAGAAAGAAAATAAATCAATCAGTCCTTTAGTCAAATTATGTATTGATCATCAGAACAAGGGACAACATTATAATTTCCACGACCACGTGACCTTGCCTTAGCAGCAAGTGTGCAGTCTATTTGATACACTACTTCTTGCAGCTCCCAGCAGCAACAGCACACTTGTCCCCAGAGTTTGGAGCACGTCCAGCCCTTTTGCCCTTCTTCAGAAAGACTCGTGTCTGCGAGCCTCCAATCTTTCAACAGGTCTTTTCTCTAGGGGCCGTATCGAACTAGTCATCGTTTTCCTGTAATGACATCTACCACTTTTCCATTTAACATTTTAGGTAAACGTGCAAACGCCGAGGTGTCTGTCTTGGCGACAAGAACGTCGCTAATGGATCATGATAGGATGCAAGACACTTTGGTAACAGTCCTACCTTGTTCACTGGGTTCTGACTGAGACTTTCTGACAGTAAGGTCCAGAGGTGAGTCTTGGTCAGCCATGAGAAGTTTGCTGAGCACAGGGTTCTGAGCAGTTGCAGCCGTGGGAGAGGAGGCGACCAGAGATGCTTTCAGCAGGCTTTGGTTCTTTGTGCTATTGGGCTGGCTGGAGTCCTGAGTAGAGCTATTTTTTGAGGTATATTCAGCAGCAAACTGTCGGATCATTCGCTGCATGATCTCACGGGCCACTAGGGGAATATTGGGGTCAGAGACCCTAGGACTGTCTGCAAACATTAGAGATTTTTTTTTTAAAAAGATGCACTTCAAGTAAAACCGCTTTTATATTAAATCAGTTTATTAAAAAAAAAATCTATAAAAAAGACAGAAATAAAATAGTTTCTGTAGAATATGTACCTTAGCCTTAGGATGCCTGCATGAGAAGCATTACTATTTCTAATATAATATATAAGAATATATACAATATATCTATATATCTCTAATATATAATCCAAATAAGAGTTTCCTACATGAAATACTCAATCTTGCATTTTGCTTCAATTATATCCAACCAGGCCTTAATAAAGGGTGGAAATGTAAAGGTGAGCTGGACTCAAGAAAAGCACCAAGCAAAGAAATTCATTACAAAAAGTAGAACAGATTATTCATGGAAGAACTGAGCAACTTACCTGCAACTACAGAGGGGAGCGGAGAGAAAGGGGAAGGGGGAACAGGGCCCTACAAAATTACCTGGAAATAAAGCTCAGTAGCTCTCATCCACACACAATATTTTACCTTAAAACATAAAGAGTTCAAGTGCCTTCCATCCCATTCTACCTATTTCTTGTCATTTTTATCATTATAATCAAAGCAGCATCAAATACTACCCAGAGGACTTTCAGATACACACAAAAAAAGATGTCAGACTGTCTAAAACAGTTACTAAACCTATTAGTAAGAAATGTGAATTGGAAGCTTTTTTTTTTTCCTTCAATAATACAGCATAAATACAAAAGTATTTGAGGATATGGGCAACAAAAGTACACGAATACAAACCAGTGTTTCACGCAAGTATTGATTCATCATGTCAGAGCAAATGTGACCCCACTCCTGAACAGTCTCCAAACAAATCTTTACAATCTCAAAAAAATCCTTAAAAAGAACTTTGAAAAGGAGTAATAGCAAAGTTTTTACTTGCCCTTCCAACAGCAGGGGAAAAAAAAATGCTCAGATTGAAAGGTAATCTATCAAGATTGAACTAAAGTATCAGAATTAACTGATATAAAGTAGCAGTATTAACTGTGATAGATTTACCTTTTGCTGCATTTTTTACAAAAAATGGCTCAACAGCACAGCTGTTTTAGAGCTATCAGTAAAGGATGCCCGAGTTGAACGTCTGAGCAGGGAGCTGTGCACAAACCAGACAGCAGCACTAGGCACTCGCTGCTTTTCTTGATGAGCAGCCGTACTGAGCTTCAAATAAACATATAGCAAGCTCAGGTTCCTTCCTGTGAAATATAACTTTCTAAATCTAAAAGCTCATAAAATCATCATGTGTGATCTTACACTAATACAGTAGCTGTAAATTCTGAGGGATTTATGTAAATACTTAGTCATTTTTCTGTATTTTCTGATTCTGAAATAACATACTGTCATTTTTCTGCAGGATGTTTTATTGTTGCTAAGTACACGGTACACCAGAATTTTAAGAAATCCCCAAGAGATGAGCAATATCTAAATTTAAGTATGGCTCATATTCCAAATTTCTTCCCAAACAGTCCACAAGGAAGAGAGCCATTAACTGGGAGGAAGGTGTTTCTCAGCTAGGACGAGATTTCCTCTCTTTTCCAAGCTCTCTGCTCAAGCCTGTAAAAGGCACAAGGAGAGCCCAAAGAATGAAATTCTGGGGCACAAATCAAAGACCTTTCCCCACTGCGGCCGACACTTCAGCAGGTGCCGGGAACACAAACACGTGCTGCAGAGAAGGACCAGAGCTCCCGCTAACCGTGTTTCCTGAACAAGAGTCACACTTCTTGTGTGCCTCTCTGGAGTGTCTGCCATATACACACAACCGTAGATCAACAACACCTACAGTTGGACATATTCCAATTTCCAAGAAAATATCATTTTATAGCCACAGCCATAAGACTCTAATCTCTCAACTTTAAAGACATGGCACAGAGTGGTTAGTAAGAGCTTTTCCAGGCTTGCTCAAGACAAAAATCACTACACAAAACTAATTTTTCAAATAGAAGAGTAGTTACCTTTAAGACTTCTTGCTAAATAGAGAGCATGAATTTTAAATGCTAAGTATTAAAGTTGTTCAAAAGCAAGTGCAAAATACTTGCTGGTGACTGCAGCACCACTTGAAGCCAACCAGAGGTTTATTTTGACCTTGTTTATTTGTTTGAAATAATGATTTAACTAAAACAGAGATGACATCACAGAAAAAAAAATACTGCAAATCTCTATCAGCTTTTTATAAAATAGTACATGTGAGCTTTAAAAGTGTAACATGCTTTATGTATTTTATCTATGCACAAACCCTAGAAAGGAAATAGCAACCCAAGGAGATTTGATTTCATTAAACCATCATAAGAGAGTCCTATCCTGCCAAAAGGTGAAAGTATCAGAGAACTGAAAACTGAGAAGTAGGAATAGTTGACAGAAGCATTACTGAGTCTGAGTGCCTTGGCCACAAGGCAGAAAAAGCAGCCCAGATGAGTTTATGGTAAACCTGTTTACAAAGTTTGCTGCTATTGATAACTATCTATGTATGTTAAACATATGAACGCATGTGCTTGACCTGCAACAGGCAGCTGTTCACTGAACATCTGCAGCTTCCTCTGATCTGCTTGAGCTGCAAAATACCACTCTTAAATGTTAGCGGCAGGGGGGATGGAAAGAAAAAAAGAAGTTATCATTGGCATGAAGCCAGGAGAGCCAAGTCTCTGTGGGCAACGAGCAGACTCAGAATATTGGCCACGTTATATCCTCTGGTAGGACACTGACTGGGGATGTCGTGGCACCTGCAAATAACCCTTAAAACAATCTAAACACAGGCCAGCTTGATAATGATGCACTAAGGAATCAGAACTGACTTCCTTCCAGGCTCTTTATCCTTCCTTATGTTACTCTTGCACCAAGCACAGCCTTAACAGAGGAAGGAAGAAAGTGCATATTAAAAAAATAAAGAAAAACAACACCCAGTGAGTCTTAGCTGCCTGAAGTGATTTCATTATCCTCATTCTGTGCATCTGATCATGGACAGAGTGTTAAATCCATTATTAGCACATTATAGTATCTGACAATTTTATTTCCCTCAAAATTAGGAAAAATATATACTGACCACTTTTTCCATATTTTCTAATTGAAAAATCACTCCCTCTTCATCACTTCCATTTTTTAATGCCTTATCTATTTAATATTAAATTTAAATTTTCACATTTGATCCTTATGTGTGACTCTAGAGAAATTGATACTTTCCTGTTATTTTTTTTTCCTTTTTCTGAAATTACTCCTGCATTTAAAGTGGGGTGGGGAGTAGAGGGAGGTGGAAAGCAACCTCAACTTTAAAGGAAAAAAAGGGCCTGAAAAGGGAGACTTGGAATAAAAGAATTATCTGAACTATCTGTAGTAATGCAATAACTATCCTTCACACCATCCTATGTGCTTTATGCAATACATCATGAGGTGTAGTTTGTATTTATTCATATAAGTCATAAAAGCAAGGGTAAAATACTGTTATCTACTTAAAACACCTTTAAATATTTTGGTCACTGGGAGGATGGGCTGAGGACTGGCTGCAGTAATTTCTAATTTGTTAAACTGAAGCTGTGCATTGTGCCCCAACAGACGGGTTGGAATTACTGATTTGGCAGATTTTCCTCACACATGGGTTATGCTGATAAGTACAACATACTGTCATTCAGGATGCATTTGGAAGCAACCTCTGGATTGCTGTTGCCCAGATAGGTCGAATACAGTGAAATGAGTTTTGTTCCCTCTTAGTTTAACTTGCATAACTCTCCTGCCGAGATTTACAAGATTTTTCTATTATTTAGCTATTTTTACAGTTCTCTGGATATTTTATAGTAAAAGTTTTCCAATTCTTTTGCTGATCACTTCTCATATCATCCATGTATTGCCCTGGTCCAGCAATATTTTGTATTGTGGGGCAGGGGGGAAGAATTCACTACAGACCATAGTCAGAAAGAAGAGTGCTGACCTTTAAGAAAAGCTGCATTACAATAGAAACCATTAAAAACAAACAAATAAAAACACACACACCAAAAAAATCAACCAAAATAAAACACACATCACTCTCTCACCTTGCCTCCAAATACACACACCAAACAAATCGACCAAAATAAAACACTCCTCACATCACTCTCTCACCTTGCCTCCAAAGAGCACGCTCACCTAATACCATTTGTTTCAGAGGAACAGTTCTGCTTGGGAAGAATCGAGTAAACCCTCCAAAATTACAAAGCACCAGTGTTCTCAGGGAGGGTTTTGTTTTAGGGTTAAACGTGATGCCTTCCCTTCCTCCCTCCCAAGCCTACAGTGTCAGACTCATACATTATTAGAGAGAGAATTGATATTCCTGATAAATACGCAAGATAACTGAAAAATATTGAGTATACAATGACACCTTGAACATCCCATCTTTGAGATACCTGCATTGCATGCAAAAAAGAGACCAGTAAGAGATACAATTTCCCCCCACCCCACTCCGTTAAAACCAACCTTTTCTGTAAAAGACTGCATTGAGGAACTCTTCCGCTTGCCTCTCAAACCGAATGATTTTTGCTTGCTCTTGTCTAAGCAGAGCTTCTTGTCCAGCTTCCGAGGCTGGCTCATCCAGACTGACTAAGTGTTCCTGCAAAGATATTTAATATTTGTAAGTTCTTTCTGCCTGCAGAATTAGAGAGTCATAGGCATTGAATATTTTAATACGCTCAAAACTTTCTAGACACGCAGCACAACGTTAGATCTGTTTAAATCATAACTTGAATTTTTGGTCTCTCCAGTACACTGGACTTTGCCCTGTTTTGTTGTCATAAACGTAATAGAAGACTAAAAGATTTGATAGCAGTATGAGAAACAAGAGCTTACCATTAAGGAAATTATTCAGATATTTTACCTTGCATTTTGGTCACAAGCCTGATTTCTAACATTTGCTCTTCAGCTAGTACTTTTAGTTCTATATGAACTAACTGCTAAGGACAAAATAGACAGAAAATTCTACTTACTCTACACAGCATTCTTGCAAAGAGAGCAACAAATGACTAAGCAGTAGCAACAAACAGGTCTTTGCCAAAAGTCTTAGTAGTAGCTACTCTTAACTTAAAAAAAACACTTAGGTTTGCTGCCTGCAACACCTCTAATTAATTCAAGTTCATTATATGTCTTATAGTTGAACTGAAGCAACTCAGTTATAGCAAAAAATATTTCTTTATTTCAATAATAAAAACCAGTGCTTTAGCTAGGAATTGTGCAAAATGCCAGAGTAAGCTATACATTTTAAACATAATTCAAGAACGACAAGACTATAGTTATAAAAATACAGACCTTAAATGTTTGAGAGCTTTTTTTCTTTTCTGCCTTTTTTCCCCCCCTCCTCTCCACTTTGATGTCTTGTTCCAGCTCAAGAGAATAATAATAATTCCCTTCCTGGCCTTTCCCTCCCACTTTCATTTTAAGTAATATTAAAATTACTTATATTTAGCTACA